CTCTCCCCCCACAACAACAACAAAAAACCCTCACAAAAAAAACCTAACAAAAAACCATGCCATCTTCAGACGGGATTCAAACTCACATCATCGGTGTGTGATGTTGAAGCGTCTAACCATCTACACCACAGACGCCTGTAACCACACTATGCTCAAAATGAGTTTTTACGAGGTATCAAACCCTAAACGACCCGTTCCCTCAGACGCAATTACGAACGATACACAAAAGAAAGTTCATTCATTTCAAAATAGAAAAACAGAACCTAACAAACGGACTAAGGTAATCAAGCTAGGAGGAAATTAGAACGAGTTTTTATTTTGAAAAAAAAGTCTAACTACAAAATCAAACGAAACGAAGCGTGTAGACATCAAATCTTCCACGCTAATGTTCTACAGCAGACAGGCTTCACTTCATCGAGTTTTCCGTGTTGAGACCCACAGCGTCGCAAACACTTAAGACCCCTGGGACTTCCCTGGATCTGCATCAGAAGAGTTTTCTCTCCACTTTTGTCAGGACAGTTTCACCGGACGCCAAGACTATTGTGTCGTCTGAAAAGGGTAGAAAACAATAATTCTTCGCCCAATTCTCGTCTCGCATAATCGATGGTGAAATTAAAAAGTTGTATGGCAGCACCCGCGACTCCGCGCAATATACCCCCGCTATGAGGACACGCGCTCAATTCTATCTCCCTCTTTGGAGAATAACTTCCAAGGACAATACGTTGGATTTGCTATTCATGGGCGACATTCTACTCGCAAGATTTTTGTTTCATTCTCAAGGGATTGAGTGGTTATTTTAACAAAAAGCCCTCCCCCCTCCCCCCTCTCCCAACCAATTAAATAATAGAAAAAAATAAAGATAACATCAAATAAAAGAAAATGGAAAGAAATCTTTCCGTGCGAAAGGTCCGGGTGACCTGAGGAGAAAAAGTCTGAAAAAGTTGTGCACTCCTGTCGTGGAGAGTGCGTGCACTAAAGGAGCACAGTGCCCTTCACATATTTTATTTATTTATAATTCTATCTTAATTTTTTGATGTTACGTCGTATTTACCGCTCTTCTTGACTTCCATTGATCTATAAATATGGCGCAACTTTTGGCTCAGTGGAAGCAAAAATCTAGTTTTTGGTGGAAGGAGTCTAGCTGTAGAGGCAACTGTTCTAATGTACCCATCGACACTGTTTAGATCAAAGGGCTTAGATAGATGGATACAACGGACGGAGATACTTTAAAAAAATACAATTAAAAAAAAATTCCCACACGGGGATTGAACTCATACCTTCTGCTTCCCATGGCTAAGTGCCTGACCGTTACTCCAGAGACGCTGTTGAGAAGAACATAGACATAAAAGAAGAAAGAAAGAAGGGAAGAAGTCCGAGAAGATAAACGGAGTATTATTATTATAATAATAATTATTATGTGTGTGTGGGTGGTTGGCGGGTGTTGTGGTGGGGTTTGCTCCTTCTTTCCTATCAAACATCTGTCGTCCTTATTCCCCCCTCATTCTTTTTTGTGCATGTTACTCTCTTGTAACACATAACCTATTCTTCGGCACTTATATATTATGCCCTTATTGTGTTGCAAGTGCCGTAAAAAACTCTTATTGAAACAAAACTGTGTTTCTCAGAAAATATGTTTATGTATTATATTTGTATTGTGTTATCCTAAAATATCGAGGGTTTCACCTGCTGGTTTGGGGTGAGTTTTGCTCTTTAAGAATGTCTCGGACACATTTGTTTGATACCAGACCAAAGGCTCTGCTACGGCACATTCGAACTTCGTACGTATATCATCGTGTGCACGTTTTGTAAGTCTTTTTAGGTTTCAGATTCCGGTGCCACAACCCTTTTGGGGTAACTCCTCGAAGGTAAATGATTCATCCAACCTTCTTGGGGTAACTCCTCGAAGGTAAATGATTCATCCAACCTTCTTGGGGTAACTCCTCGAAGGGAAAATATAATGATTCATGAGGTTTTCCAGATACATTTATGAAAAACTTTGGTACATGTCACAGGTACTGAACATTTCAAGAAAAGGAAGCGGGATCACCATAACTTTGATACAAAAGTAATAGCATGCCGAAGCAGAGCTTCAGATTATCATTTAATTTTACAGTGATATTTAGTTTAAAGATGATAGTTCCTGGGGAGAAGGGGTGGGGCAGGGGAGTGAAGGGTCAATGATTTGAGACCATTTCCAACACATGACTGTAACAGTTAGTATAAAGGAAGGTCCACCAACCAAACGTCCAACTAATAGGGCCAGACCAGATCAGGCCATCACTAATTTATTTATAGTCATGACAAAGAAGAGAAGAGAGATTGTGGGTAAACTGCCATCAAACCCTGTAAGACAAAATAATTTTAATTTAAAAAAGATTTGTCTTTGACATTAAGTCTACCTGAACTACATTCCATCATGAACGTATAGGCCTAAGTATGCGATTGTTATTTTTATTATTTTTATTACATCAATTTCAAAACGGTATACAAGTGATTTCTTAACCAATTTTTATAGACAGAAAAAGGACGTCCAAATCAATGTTCACCTCTGACAAGATATGGTGATGAACCGTTGAAACTTCCGCGTCCGTTTTCGAAAAGACGCAAAGAAAAGATTCAAATACAAATGAGCTTTTGTACAGTCTTGCCAATTATTACACAGCTAATGGTGCCTCTTTGAGGATGGACTGGCGTTGTATGGCAAGGGATGAGCTCACTTCAGAAGCGTAGGCCTTTTGTGTTTCAGTCTGGGTCTCGTAAACTTGGAGCTAATTTACAGATTTCATGACTTTTGATCTTTAATTAAGCTTGGTTCCTGACAGAATGGTTTCGCCTACGGCTTTATCCTGTCGAAAAGGATGTAACATCAAACTAGTGTAGTGATTCTATAAAGCTTATTATCTTCTCGTTAGATGGTTTCATGTGTGTGTGTGTGTGTGTGTGTGTGTGTGTGTGTGTGTGTGCATGTGTGTATGTGTGTGTTTGTGTGTGTGTTTGTTATTCTGTGTGTACGAGTACGTGTGTTTTCTTGGCATGGGGGTTAGTATGTGAGAGTGTGTGTGTCTGTGTATGTGTGAGCGTGTTTG